GGGAGGGAGGGAGGGAGCATGGGTGTCCGGAACCAGCCCCAAGTTTCTATTTGCATAATTTGTCAAGGAGTCAAATTCACATGGCGTGGGCTGCATCAGGAAAGTGCTTGCCTTGCAATCATGGGGATCCAGGTTCAATTCCCAGCACCCAGGTGAAGAAGCTCGGCATGGTGGTGTGCACTTATAATCTCAGTACTGGGAGGTGGAGACAGGAAGGTCCTTGGGGCTGGCTGGCCAGCTAGCCTACCTTCCTTGGTGACCCCCAGGGCCCAGTGAGAGCCCTGTCTCAAAAAGCAAGGTGGGCAGGGCTCAAGGAACATCTGAGATCACCCTCTGACCTCACACAAATGTGCACACTCACACTTGTGTGCACACAAATAGTAATGTTGCACATACTTGGGGAACAAGAATGTGGAAGATGCTCCTGGCCCTAATCCTGTCATCCCAGCGCTCAGGAGGCTGGGGCAGAGGATTGTGGGTCTGAGGCTAGCCTGGGCTACATTGCAAGACTTGTCTAAAAATTTTTAAAAAGGAGGAGAGAGAGAGAGAGAAGGGGGGGGAGAGAGAGAGAGAGGGGAGAGAGAGAGAGAGAAGGAGGGGGAAGAGGAGGAGGAGGAGGAGGAGGAGGATGGGCCAGTGAGTTGGTTCAGTAGGTAAGGCTGATTGCTGCCAAACCTGATGACCTGAGTTCAATTCCCAGCACCACATGGTGAAGGGAAAGAACCAACTCTTGCAATTTGTCCTCTGACCACAGGTGCACCACGACACACCTTGTGCACACTGACTTACACACGGTGACTCACTCTCTATGGGAACTTGCATGCTTTCATACACACACACACACACACACACACACACACACACACACACACACACACACACTCACATACACACTAAAAAAAGAAAGTTTAAGGGACAGGCTGTGAGGGATATTATACACCACCTAGGATATTCAAGGCCCCAGGACATGCACAGCCTCTTGTGATCAAACCCCTATTTCAGCAGGCAGGGTCTCCCAACCCAGGCCTGAGAGATCCTCTGTTCCCTGTGGAGTGAGGATCCTGGGACGGTGGGGAGGCTTCCCCAGCCAGGACCGAGTCAACCTTGGAAAGGGTGGGCAC